CTCTCTCTCTCTCTCTCTCTCTCTCCCTCTCTTTCTCTCGCTCTCTCTAAGCACCCCTAGCTGAATGAACAAGGAGTGAATTGGGGAAAAAAAAAGAGGAATCTTTTGTAAAATGTGTACCATTGGTTTGCTTAATGAAAATCGTCGGAATCTGAGTTAAAAAAAAAAAAAAAAAAACTTTAATCTTTTGTGAACAATGGGGGAAGGGGTGAGGGGAAAAGAAGTGATGAATAGACGAAGTCCAAATTGTGCGGCGCACCGTGCGGTGGCCAGCCTCCCCCCCCCCCCCCCCCAGCCTTTTTCTAATCATTATTATGTTTGGGCAAAAAACATCGTTGAACTGACTTGCGTGGAAAAAAAATAACTGAAATCTTTGGCGAACCGGGCGAAGTATAGGGAAGGCGTAAGTAAAAAAAAATAAATTAATTAGCCCAAGCACACAACTAAGAAAAAAAAAAAAAACACTAAAGTCCCAGCAAAGTGAAGGGACGGCTTAAGTAGAAAAAAGAGTAAAAAAAAAAAACAATAGACTTAGTAGCTAGGCAACCAGAGTGGCCCGGGTCCACTTGCCCGGCCGGGCAAAAAATAGATAAAAAAATAAATTTTTTTTTTTAAATATTTTTGTTTCAAATTTGGTAAATAATTTCAATGTGACCTAGGCTACCATAGTGGCCCGGGGTCACTTGCCTAGCCGGGCCAAAATAATTGGAAAAATTAAAAAAATAAAAAATATTTTTCATTTTAAATTTGGTGAAGAATTTTGATGTGACCCTRAGGCAAAAGTTGTTCAGTTTATTTTTCTGCATAACATAGTTTTCTTTCGAAATTTATGATTTTTTTTTTTTTTTTTTTTTTTTAGGGATCTTACCTGGTCCTTGCACCGGCTGGCCACCGGGGACCCGGGCGGCCTGGCTGGTAGCCTAGGATGTGCCCCTTGTTTTTTTTTTTTTTTTTTAAAACCCGCCAGTGTGACCCGGAGGCTAAAGTTGTTCATTTTATTTTTTTGCATAACATAGTGTGTTTTCGATTTTTTTTTTTTTTTTTTTTTTTTTTTTTTGCTGGGACCTTCCCTTGTCGTTGCACGACCGAGCCGCTCGGGAAAATAGGGTGACCCGGGCGGCCCGGCTGGTAGCGTAACTTAGTAGACAAAAAAGAAAATAAAAAAAATAAGCTTAATATTCACGGAACAGAAAGTGGGTAGAAAGTAGACCAAGTAACCAAAGAAGAAAACAAAAGAAAATAGACGGAGTCCAAATTGTGCGGCGCACCGTGCGGTGGGCAGTCCCCCTCACCCCCCAGCCTGTTTCCAATAATTATTATGTTTGGGCAAAAATCCATCCTTTAACTGAGTTGCGTGGAAGAAAAATACATGCAATCTTCGACGAAGTTTAGGGAAGGGGTAAATAGAAAAAAAAAAAAAATAGACCAAGTACACAACCAAGAAAAAAAAAGACACACTAGGCTATCAGAGTGTCCCGGGTCCACCTTCCCGGCCGGGCCAAAATAAGTGTAATCATCACCGAACTACAGGGAAGGGTAAAGAAGAAAGGGGAGTGGAAAGTAGACCAAGTAAACAAAGAAGAAAACAAAAAGAAATATATGTAATCTACGCTGAACAGTGGGGAAGGGGAAAGGACAAAACGGGTGGAAAGTAGACAAAGAAGAAAACGAAAAAAAATAAGTGTAATCTTCGCCGAACAGTAGGGAAGGGGAAAGGACAAAATGGGTTGAAAGTAGACCAAGTAAAAAAAATAAAATAAAATAAAAATAAGTGTAATCTTCGTCGAACAGTGGGGAAGGGGAAAGGAGAAAACGGGTGGAAAGTAGACAAAGAAGAAAACGAAAAAAAATGAGTGTAATCTTCGCCGATCAGTGGGGAAGGGGAAAGGAGAAAGCGGGTGGAAAGTAGACCAAGTAGACAAAGAAGAAAACGAAAAAAATAAGTGTAATCTTCGTCGAACTGTGGGGAAGGGGAAAAAGCAAAACGGGTGGAAAGTATATAAAGAACAACAGAAAAATTTCCACGAGAAATGAAAGTTTATGAAACATTCCATAAAAAAAAAAATCCTTCATATTTATAAATTATCATTCCAATGTTTGTCAAATTCTAGAATTTCCAATTTAATTTGATAAATTCTCGTCTAAATATGAGCTTTCTCTTCCAACTACATCTATTTGTTCAAGATAGAATGAAAATCTGGACGAGTTTATGAAATGTTTTAATTAGACTTTCATTCTACTACAACAAATATCGTATAATTTAGATTGGATTAACCTATTTATGATTGAAAATCCTTACTTAGAATGACAGTCCAATTAAAATATTTCATGAACTCATCCAGACTTTCATTCCATCTTTAGCATGAAGTTCAAATAAGAAGGGAAACCCCATTCTTGGAAGGAAGGATTTCAAGTAAGATGGAAAATTTTAAAATTGGAATGATATTTTTTAAGTTGGAATGAAAATTTGAAATTTAGAATGTAATTTGACTCTAGAATGATTATTTAATTCTGGGAAATTTTTCTATTGAAGAAAACGAAAAAAAAAAAGTGTAATCTTCGCCGAACAGTGGGGAAGGAAAAAAGAGAACGTGGGTGGAAAGTAGATCAAGTAGACAAAGAAGAAAACGAAAACGAATAAGTACAATCTTCGTCGAACAGTGGGAAAGGGGAAAGGAGAAAGCGGGTGGAAAGTAGACCAAGTAGACAGAGAAAAAAACGAAAAAAAAAAAGCGTAATCTTCGCCGAAAAGTAGGAAAGGGGAAAAAAATGAAACGGGTGGAAAGTAGACAAAGAAGAAAACGAAAAAAAATACGTGTAATCTTCGCCGAACGGTGGGGAAGGGGAAAGGAGAAAGTTAGTAGAAAGTAGACCAAGTAGACAAAGAAGAAAATGACAAAAAAATAAGTGTAATCTTCGTCGAACAGTGGGGAAGGAAAAAAGAGAAAGCGGGTGGAACATTGACCAAGTAGATAAAGAAGAAAACGAAAAAAAATAAGTGTAATCCTCGCCGAACAGTGGGGAAGGGAAAATAAGAAAGCGAGTGGAAAGTAGACCAACTAGACAAAGAAGAAAACAAAAAAAAATAAGTGTAATATTCGTCGAACAGTGGGGAAGGAGAAAGGAGAAAGCGGGTGGAAACACTGGGAAGTAGACCAAGTAGACAAAGAAGAAAACGAAAAAAAAATAAGTGTAATCTTCGCCGAACAGTGGGGAAGGGGAAAGGAGAAAACGGGTGGAAAATAGACCAAGTGGACAAAGAAAAAAATGAAAAAAATAAATGTAATCTTCACCGAACAGTAGAGAAGGGGAAAAGAGAAAAAGAGTGGAAAGTAGACAAAGAAGAAAACGAAAAAAAATAAGTGTAATCTTCATCGAACAGTGGGGAAGAGGAAAGGAGAAAGCGGGTGGAAAGTAGACCAAGTAAA